GCAAGAGGACTTCGTTCTCTAAAAATATACTTATACATAGCCAAAAAAGGCTAATATTGAAAGAATATTAGTTCTCGACTATTTAATGAGATATGCAAGAGACCTATAATAGAAAGAAATGATAAAACAGAATTAGTAATATTTGATCGATCACGATATAAGATAAAATGAGAGATGGCCATCCTAAGGTAGATTTGTTTAGGCCAATCAGCAACGACAGGTATAATATATTCCTTTTGAATACATTGTTGCATAGATGAAACATTCATAACAGTATTAATGGCCTTGATATATACATTTAAAGAATGGAGATTATTTTCTTGTAAATCTATGAGGACTACGTCTTTCATTGAATAAGCATCCTGTTTCTCTTTCAATTTAGTATCATAACTATATACGGTTAGCTTTTCTAATTTAGTACTATCATTAACTGAACGGAATCTCCAGTGTTGATTATGCGAAAGACCAAGAAGCATTATGAATCTATTATTTAGATTCAGTTTTATCAACTCCGCGTCGATCAACTTAGGGTTGTGTATATTCATATTTGGAATTGCATACTATGTAGTGATCGGGTTCATTAAAATTGTTGCCAAGTGTACTGCAGTAGAAGTTGTAATCATGTTTGGCATCTGTTTTGTATAGATACTATGATAATCATGATACTTAATATCATTGCCTTCTCTGCATGTTCTGCAAGTATAGAATTGACAGTTTTTGCATGGTCATTAGATATGGTAGTTTTATACTGTGTGATTATACGAGATGTTATAGTTACACCTAAATCAACAAGAGTATCTATGGAGGCATTAGAAACACCAGTAGAATTCAAGTACATCGTCAATTCTTCCTTTGCGACATTAATGAACTTGCTATGAATTCTACAGTGAAAAGTAGCATACATATAAGAGCTGCTTTTTCACCTATGCTCGTGAATTTTCATTTTTTGAAAAAGGGTTAGAAGAAAGATATAACTCATCAAAAAATGAACTTAATCTTACATCTTCCTCTTCCATAACCGCACGAAATTCATCAAATGAGTATATCGCTGATTTTT